GTCTGGATGTTTCGCTGGCTAAGTGATTGCGCCATTTTCCTCGGGGACTGAACATCAATGCTTCGTTTTAACCTACGTCGTTTGGTTTGCAAATGCAGTTTTTACGTAATTTCCCAATAGTAACCGCTGGAGCTACGGAACTGCGTGCTTTGTGCAACACTACCAGCAGGCAACTAGCTGTTCAGGAAAGAGTAAATACCCATTTGTGATCAAACTCTAAGCAATAAAATGGATCCTTTCGAGTTTAAACTATAAACATTCGTAGTCTAGACTCCAGATTGCAGATGTCTAGAGATATTGAGTCAATGCCTTTGCTGGTGCCATCATACAGAATCCAAACAACGAAGTATGTTTTTGCAACCGTCTCCACGAAAATGATAAATAACACATTATATCGGACTCAATTATGTTTCTAATTTTTAGGGCCATTAACTTGATAAATTCTCCATATAAGATTACTGTCCTTATAAAACTGATGTATTTGTCGGTGAAATACTTATCCGAATTTTCGAAGGACGATTAAACAATATATTTTTTTTTTATGCGACATTTTATGGTCAAAGTTCATTAACTGCAATTTCTTTACTTCCTTATTATGGGTATTTTCCCGTCATAAAACCATTTTCCTGGGCTCTGAATGCCAAATATAATTTATTAATTTATTATTTAACGACCAACGTCTACAATTTTTATGTCTGTTTCTAGTATAGTATTATTCATATTGTTATTTTCACAAAGCTTAGGAAATATGTTGTGAAAGTGTGGCGATTCTGTTGCACTACAACAAGTCTTCACTGCAGAACTGCGTCTGTGACGGCTTTTCTTTTGTGTCCACTTTCCACTGTATACCCTAGGAATGAGAAGTTAACAGATGATTGGTTTCCGAGCTAGGGCACGCTCGGTTGTCCAGTATGCTTTGATGTTGTAGAGTATCAAGATAATAATGACTCCTTCAATCCATCTTCTTTATGGTCGTCACAAACCTCTTGATGTTTCTTCTCGTACGTTCATGTATGCTCTCGTTGCTGGCACCATTTTTTTTATTCCTATTAAATGGCCAAACCATTTCAGTCTTTGGTTGTTGTTATTGTTATTGTTGTCTTTTTTCTTCAAATGAATATAATTATAGGCGTTGTTGCAATAGTTCTAGTAATTGCTTAGTTTCTCGCATTATCTCTTCTAGTTTTATTTTGTTCACGGCCTTTCTCAAACATCTCATTTCACATTTGCTTTGTTTTCTTCCATGTTCTTTAGTCAATGTGCAAGTTTGGTACAGGTAACACCAGGTTAGTCTGAAGAGTGCCTTTATTATTTGTCATTGGATGTTTACAGGGACAGCCAGGCGTTTCAAAATCTGGGTCATCTGGTGAGTGGAATTGTTGGATTGTTTCAGTCCCACTGCTTATTACATACATCTTATTTGTGTTGTGTTTGATACACATTTGATCAAGCCAGGGGCCGTACGATAGGGAATAGGGCACCTTTTTTTTTCTAAAGGTATCATTTTGTTGGCACTAGGGTAATAGATACTTTATGGTGAGTACCGGCACCTTTATTACATATTTTGTGGTTAGTACCGGCACTTTTCTTTCTAGAAAATAGTCATGGATCTAACTATTCTGTATCTTCCATCTTTCAGTCCATTTATCCCTCCGAGCTTCTACCTTATGGTGTGTCACCTTAGGATAACCAAATCCAGCTACGTATGGCAGACCAACAGGGTATGTCCCAGACATTCCCTTTTACCTATAGGGAAATTATAGTTGGGAGCCATAATGGCTGTACTAACCTATTATGTACTGCTGTCCTTGTGTGTGTGTGTGTGGGGGGGGGGGGGAGAAGGGGGTGCCTACTCAATCCCTTCTTTAAACGATTGTTACTTAAAAACTGTTAGCTGTTGACTCTTCCTTAGCTAGTCAGGAAGGAGATGAAGCCCTTCTGGGAGCTAGTGAGGAAAGAGATGAAGCACCTGTGGGAATGTCCTAAGTGCACGGATGTCAGTTCTTGATTGATTGATTGATTGATTGATTGATTCATTCATTCATTTGTTGTTTACTAGACACAACACAGCAGTCTTATATATTTAAGTATTGTTTGTGTGACATATAGATGGTTACATTTCCGAAACTTATGGTAATCTTTCAATAGTTATTAGCTTCGAATACTTAATAGATCCCATATCGAATTACGAGTATGATACACCATGAGCAATCCTCTCGATATCATGGGAGTAATCCAATCCAATACCGTCCGTCTTTTTAAGCAACGTCCATCATAAGGTTATCTTTTGGATATCCCCGTTTCCTAAGTTCATTTTGTTTCCATTTCATTACCTGTTTAGCAATTTTCTGATCGCTTCTCCTCAGGGTGTGCCGAATAAAACGCCATCTTCGTGTTTATTGTAACTTGTGATACTAAGAATTATCCATACATTCCTCTTTTTGTTTCGCCGTTTTTAAGTTTATCCCATTTTAATGTATTGTTGGTTTGTCCTTTCTTATTGCCAGGCAACGCATTCAGTATCGTTTATAAAAATGTATCACATTCATCGCAACGAGTTTTGTTACTAAGCTGTGCTAATTTATTCAGACACTCATATCCCATGTTTGTTTATGCAACTGAGACAAACATATTGTTCAACAATGATGTACGTTCAGATACATTTATTACGTATATATTTAAGCAGCTGTAATAGGCAAATGACTTTGTGTTGTTTGTTTAGATTTATCACATTCGCAATCACATATTTTAGAAGAAGAACGTTAAAAATGTGTATATATATATGTATCACAACTGTAGTATCATAGTTAAGTAGCATATTGTAAACAATCTTGAACATTCAACAATACTTGTAACTTTTATTTTTCCAGTTTCCTAATAGCACTAGCTAGATTTGAACCTTTTTACTTACAAAGCTGAATAGTTTAGATTAAGCAACCCATGTCGATACAACAAATTACTGTTTGTTTTGTTTAACCTGTAGACTTGCTAACGCTGAGTTAAGACCAGTGTTGCTACTTTAGATGTTTTACATCCAGATTTAGATGTTTTCACTTGCAGTTAGATGTTGTTTTGACGTTTATATGGTAGATGTTTTTGTAGAAGTTTTTCATTTGGAGTGAATTTATAAAATCTAACCTAAGAAACAATAAAATTTGACCCCTTAAATGCTATCGTGACAATAAAATTTTGTCTGATAAGAGAAGGAAAAGGCTGTTCCACTTATCAGCTCCCTGATTGGGTATTAAAAGAAATTGGAACAGCTAAAGCATACCAGAGTTATTTGGGATCTGAAGCTTCAACTTCATCATCCAAGCTAAGTTTATCCTGTGGATCTTGTAAGGCAGACTTCAGTAAAGATGAGGACATGCTTCTATAGGGTAAGTCTTATCAATAGCTATGTAATTTGTGACTCTTTCCATTTGGATGTTTTTTCTAGATGTTTTCCACACAAATTTAGATGTTTGTAGATATTTTTGGACTCCGTTCTGGATGTTTTTTGTCAAAGAAAAGTGGCAACACTGGGTAAGACTGTGGAACTATTGAAATATTACCCTGTCTACAAATATTAGATGTAGAATATTTTACGGACTGTAAAACTCTAAATAATATAAGATGCACTTTGTTTAATGTACGTTTTTTTTTTTTTTTTTTTTTTTAAATTTTTTTATAAAAATGGTTTATCATTATTTTGCAGTGTCAGTTTTTGAAATATAATAACTTTTACCATTTGCTTATGAAACCAAACCGACCTTTAAAACTCCAGGTTACTTATATTTTAACTTGAGTCTACCCGTTCCCGTTTGTTGTCATTGTTGTCATTGTTGACACTGTTGTCATTTCTCTCCCATTCGTCCTATTAAAGATGGTAGTCACTTGAAGTTGAATCTAAAGGTCCCTCATAGTGACATAAAATAGCACATCCGATGAACTTCCAGTGCTACATGCAGGATAGACAGGCTGTGCCTCAAAGCCACGACGTGTTTTTATTCCTGCTATTGACCTTGGTTTGGTAAAGAACTTTGTACATATATACTGGAGTCCACAGTTTCGTTGCCTAGGCTACTGAGTTCACTGCTTGGTGCAACACAGTGTGATGTGTATTTCACATAGACTATCGTTTTTTTTTCTTTTCCTGAAGCTGTTTTTATTGTTATGTTCAGAAAATCGAGTTGACCGATCTGCATTAGTGCTGGCCAAGCCCATTATGCAATAACATTGCGTGGGTACGGTCAGCTTGTCGTGGCTGACTACTTTCACCAACAAAAATGGAAATACTGGTGGCGACTGTTGGCGTTAGCACCTCTTAAAGCTGTCTTATTCATTTGCTGAAAGTCAATGTTTCTGAATTTAGCCTAGAATAATTGTTCATTTACTAGCTTTTAAGTGGGGGTTGAGGGGCATACCCTTTGGTTTTTACTAACTCAGGAACAGCGCAATTATCGCCTGACCTGTTTGCAGTTATGTTTAAACCTCAACTACTGGCTGTGATTGGCGGGAAAAGGGGAGCGGAAAGGGTGGAGGACTGTGAATTTTAAATTGCAAACAGGAAACAGTTTTGAATGTAACTAAGATAGACTTCAAATTTGGAGCTCATGTCTCGAAAAATTGTTGTGTCTTGTAGTCCGTAAAATATGGTAATTTAATGTCGATATAAATGAAAAAACAACAGAAAAAAAAAACAGTTCCCTTATAGCAGAGATAATCACAGGCAAGCAAATAATTCAGTCGTACCTCACTCAAACTCAAATCACACCGTTTTGGAATGAATGTAAAACATAAACAATACACTGAAAAGCTGAATATACAATGAGAACAAAGCTGTAATATTTTTGTTTTTCGGTTGTTGGCGCTAAAAAAAAAAAAAAAGAACTTTAACCTGGAATACCTACAGTAAATTATTTCGCATTTATTTATAGATATCATTGGCTTCCGGTTAGTTTTCTAAGGTCGTCCGCCATCAATGGCATTTGACCTCTCTGGACTTGTAGAGATGCTTCCTAAATCTTGAAGCCGCTGTCCAGCAGTTTCTGTAATACATACTGCACCTGTAAAGAATAAGGTATTCGGGAATTAGATACGCAGATGATATTGCTGTCTCAAGCAATTCTTCTTCTTCTTCTTCTTCTTCTTCTTCTTCTTTTTCTTCTTCTTCTTCTTCTTCTTCTTCTTCTTCTTCTTCTTCTTCTTCTTCTTCTTCTTCTTCTTCTTCTTCTTCTTCTTCTTCTTCTTCTTCTTCTTCTTCTTCTTCTTCTTCTTCTTTCTTCTTCTTCTTCTTCTTCTTCTTCTTCTTCTTCTTCTTCTTCTTCTTCTTCTTCTTCTTCTTTCTTCTTCTTCTTCTTCTTCTTCTTTTCTTCTTCTTCTTCTTCTTCTTCTTCTTCTTCTTCTTCTTCTTCTTCTTCTTCTTCTTCTTCTTCTTCTTCTTCTTCTTCTTCTTCTTCTTCTTCCTGTTCTTCTTCTTCTTCTTGTTCTTCTTCTTCTTCTTGTTCTTGTTCTTCTTCTTGTTCTTCTTGTTCTTGTTCTTCTTCTTCTTCTTCTTCTTCTTCTTCTTCTTCTTCTTCTTCTTCTTCTTCTTCTTCTTCTTCTTCTTCTTCTTCTTCTTCTTCTTCTTCCTCTTCCTCTTCTTCTTCTTCTTCTTCTTCTTCTTCTTCTTCTTCTTCTTCTTCTTCTTCTTCTTCTTCTTCTTCTTCTTCTTCTTCTTCTTCTTCTTCTTCTTCTTCTTCTATACGTTTACGGCTATAAATCTGGCAAAAAGTTCTAGTTATTCGTCCACTCCTGGACTTTGTTCTTTTTTCAAAACTTGAGATTTGCGAGCTCATCAGTTTTTACAAATCTAGCTTATTTGTATGCCCTTTCGACAGATAGATTTCGACTTTGTAGGAGACACCCCAGTTAGCCGACTCCTACGACATGCTTGTTAGGATCAGTAGGTCTAATCTGGGTTCTCCAGAATGGAGCGTCAAAACGCAAACGGGGACCAAAAAGTACAGTTCTAAGAGGTTAGAGAAACGGGGACCAAAAAGTACAGTTCTAAGAGGTTGGAGAAACGGGGACCAAAAAGTACAGTTCTAAGAGGTTGGAGAATCCAATTCTATTTGTTAAAAGACTCAGTAAAGATAATGTATTGTTTAAAGAAATAAAAATAAATAAAAAAAAAAAAAAAAAAAAAAAAAAAAAAAATCAAAAAAGTGAAAAAATAAAAAAAATAAAAAAAAAAATAAAAAAAAAAAAACAGAAATAAAAAAAAAAATAAAAAAAAAATAAAAAAAAAAAGAAAAAAAAAAAAAAAAAAAAAAAATAAAAAATCCCCTGAAACTGGAAATCAAAACAAAAGCTACAAATTAGAACAATTAACCAACTAAGAAATTTAAACAGTTTGAAAAAAAAAATTGTTAAACCCTTTAAAAATCTAACAAATTATTGGTTGTGTGGTTTAGGCGTTGCTTACGCGCTTAGTAAAACCGGAGTGCCGGGTTCGATCCCAACCGTGAACGGTTTGTCTTGTGTTGGTTTCGATAGTGGTACCGAGAGCTGGCCGTTTAGTAAGCAATGGCAAACTACTAAACGTAAAATTTGCCTAGAAAAACCACAACAGCTAAAAAAAAAGGTTTGGGTTGGTTCTGCAACGTGCTGTAAAGGATACGCAACTAACAGTTTACAACAGCATTGAAATAACATTTTAGGGACTGGACCTTTAACCCCCCCCCCCCCCCCCCTTTTTTTTCCAATCTCTCGTGTGAGGATTCCAGGACTCCGTTCTGATGGAGAGAAAAAAATAGGTCCACTGCCACCTTACAAGTCTTTCGTACAAGGCAACTAATTTAGAGGTGGTTCCTTCAAAGTCGGAGTGCATCTGCTTAAGATGCAAGGAACCAAAAGTCTGCACTGAACAAGCCAAATCCGTAAAGCTGAATTCAAGTTCTGGAACAAGACCAAGGTTCGGAGATGATCGAAACACCAGAACCTTCTACCAGAGTATGTAGCCATCTTCATCAAGAAGAAGAAGAGAAAAAGAAACTGGGTGGTTGTAACAGTAAATTATATTCGCTATAAGACTCAGTAAAAATCCTTTTTCTGAAAACTGAAATTATAACATAAACACACAGAGAGAAAAGTAGGTTAGTTAAAAAAAAAAAAAAAATAACAAAATTAGAATTCTCGATGAAAGAACTAAAGCTGCCACAAATTACTCGGACTTGAACTGAGATCTTTATCAGTAGGAATCCAAGTATATCCTGTACCTATCAGCTGTAACTACACACTCCAAAGAATTGGAATACAAATAAGAGTTGAGTTAAGTCAAGAATTAAAATCACAGCACTGGGGGAATTCCCATGCATGCTCTGTCCTCATCTGCAGTAGCCAACGCAGAGTTCCAGTACTGATGGTACCGGCCACAATCTAATTACATGTCCGTCTTGCTTTTACTCTGAATGTAGTGAGCCGACCAGACTCTCTGGTTACACCCAGATGCTTCATTCTCTCCAGGCCATAAAAATCTTCTATCTCTACTGATTCCGTTGCTTGTTCCCAAAGGGCCTTGACAACATCTGCCTTGTAATGTATCAATTTACCGCCCAAAAATCAGATCCACAGAGAAAAGATTCAAAGTATGTTCACTGCCCATGAATTGTCTACTGAAGCTTGCCACTCCATTCAAAGCATCCAAGTCTTCACCTTTCTCAGCCTGCTTTCAGAGTCTGTTACAATTATGACATGTGTATGCATCTTGTTCTCTAGCCATCTTAAAGCTGCAGTTACCGCCTCCACCTCCATTCTCATGATAGATGTTGTGGTGTAATATGCTAGGCTGTCTTGCACTAAGGATTTTTAATTCAAATAAGACAGCAAAGAAACCCCTCCTCAGTATAAAAGGGCATATATTTAAAAAAGGAGCAAGTCTGGAATGTTTGTTCTCTAGGAATCGAATCGAACATCCTGTACATGCCCCATACATGTATCGTGGTAGGTATCGCAGACAAGGACATAACCACGACTTGCATTTGGGACATTGGCAGAGTCGGGTTAACCATTCAACACACTAAACGCGCGCTTAGGATATCACAATATAAAGGACGCTACAAAAACATGAAAAGCATCGGAGCTGTTCGTTTATTTGTCCTCTTGGAGTAAATTTAAAATCCTATAGGAACCAAAATGTTTTAAGTGCTTTAGGCATTAAAGGGTTATTTATAATTAGGCTCTGGGCATTAGAAGCAACAACAACAACCAAGTAAATAATACGAGGCGCTTTTTTCAATTATGTCCCAGTATTTGAAAAAAAAAGTGCATATAAAATTTATTGTTGGCAGCCCAAAGTGAACCACACATTGACATTATTTTGTTGAGCATAGTCAACGATGACTTCATCATATTTTTTGTTCCTAATTCCAATGTCATAGAAGTTTGCCGCCAGTGTCTTGAACCATTTATTAACGTCTGTCTGCAGTTCATCATCAGTTTCAAAACGCTGGGATGCCAACCACTTCTTCAGGTGAATGAAAAGGTTGGCAATCACTTGGCGGCAGATCGGGGCTGTAGGGCGAGGTCAACAATTTCCCAGTTACATTTTTGCAACAATTGAACATTTCCATCTGCGACGTGAGGTGAAGCATTATCAAAAGCAAAATTCCAGAGGTCAGCAACCCACGTTTTTTTCTTTCTCCCAGATAGCACACACAAACAATTTTTTTTTAAATCAGTGAACGTGACACTACCGAAATTCGACAGATAGCCCAGAAATTGTAAAACGACATATTCCTGAATTGTTTGCTTCAAGTCTTCGACCAAATTGTCTGTCACCAACTCAGCCGACCGTTACGATCTACATCATGGATATTTGTTCGTCCTTCTTTAAACACTCGACACCATATCCTAACAAAATTATCAATCATAACATCTGACCTATAAACCTCAGTGAGTTGCCTGTGATTTGGGTGCAAAAAAAAAAAAAAAATACTGATCACAGCTGGCAGATGTTTTTTTTTTTTTTTTAGTATAAATCCCTCACACGCAACATCAAACAAGATTTCCACAGTGAAAAAAAAAAAAAAATAGCGCGCTTTAGCTAATGAACCACATAAGCATAAGCATACGCACATTTACGTTTTACATCGGTGTTTGTCGCTGCGATTATAACAGGAGTTACATTTTTTTAACGCGCCTCGTAAGTTGAACGAAAGAGAACAACTGACTATATGACATAACATAACCACGACTCGAATTAGGGACAATTACATCCTCAACAACAACAACAACAACAGCAACAGCAACAACAGGATGAACATACTGAAAGCAGAAAACACACTTACCTCATGCCAAGATCTGTCGGGCATTCCCATCTCCAACAGTGGCCTCTCATCTCCTTCAATGGCGCCCTCAAAGGCTCTCCTTAACAAGTCAACGTTCTGCTCTGTGAGACCAACCTGTTCCCTCAGGTCGTTCATATCACTGGCAACTGTGGATGGAAGACAACATCTCGGTCAGTTTGGAAATACAAGACCACTCCGAATAATTGCTAACATCGGTGCGGCCATGCTGCTTCTTCTTCTTCTTTTTATTTTTATTTTTTCTTCTTTTTCTTCTTCTTCTTCTTCTTCTTCTTCTTCTTCTTCTTCTTCTTCTTCTTCTTCTTCTTCTTCTTCTTCTTCTTCTTCTTCTTCTTCTTCTTCTTCTTCTTCTTCTTCTTCTTCTTCTTCTTCTTCTTCTTCTTTTTCTTCTTCTTTTTCTTCTTCTTCCTTTTCCTTTTTTTCTATCATCTTGTTCATCATCTTGTTATTCTTCATCTGTAAACTCCGACAAAAAAGACTAGATGGTTCGTCTACTTCTGGGATGTGGACTTGTTTCAGGCCTACACCGCCGTTTTACAGATCTGGATTAGTTTTATGTAGATTATCGATTCCTGGATTCTTAGGCGATGCCTTCAGACATGAAAGGAAATGCTGATCAAATCTGTGCTGGCCGGGCCCCAGGTCATGAGTTGGGAATCTGTTTCTAAGATGACGACGGAAAGGTTTAGACACGCCTCAACTTGTTTAACACTGGTCGTGGTTGACAACCAAGGGTGGTTCCACACCCCTGCATAACTGTGACTATCCATACAATGGCCAATTGCTATCACACGCAGCTATCACAGAACGTCGTTCTCGTCACGGCTCACCTAAAAGCCTCTTACTCTAAAGAATCTGTTAGCCCTATATGCTTTCATAGTCAAAGCATCTTCAATGTCCTGTATGCGCCTTCGCGGAAGTCGGCCCCTACCTAGTTTTCCAGAAACTATCCTTCATCGCCGTTCTCTCCCCGATGTTTAATCTGACCGCAATTGAATACCATTACAAGCAGAAACTGGAGCGGTCAGAGCTGATGTAATCAACGCTGAACCCACTAAACTGACGGATAGTGACTGGTCTCAGGGAAGAAGATTTTGCCGGTAATATTGAGAAAAACGTTAATGGTTCTTTTTACGATGCCGGGCCCAACTACATTGGTTTACCTTTCATTCATGTTTGCTAGGGCTTGTCTAGGTTAGAGTGGTGTCATATTGTATTGTCTTTATCCCACAACTTTCTGTGTTGTGCGTTACTCGTTTTTGTGAGCAGCGGCTGGCGACGTTGCGTATATTATTGTTTTCTCAGACTTGAAATACGACATGAATTTACATGAGCTGTCAGCGTTAAATTTTCCGGTCACCACCTCATAAGGTCCTTTTTTAGGGCCTATCACGGGTCGTATGCTGCACTCTTTCATGGGTCGTAAGCTGAGGCTGTGAGGTTAGGGGAGGGGTTGGGGGGGGGGGGGGGGTTGGAGTTAGGGCCAGTTCTTGATACAGGTTCGTCGATAAAAGCGGTCATGATGACGGAGAGGGAGATATGATTGGTGGAAAGGGGGGGGGGGGGTTTATGCCAGACACAGTTAGCTGAGAGAGCATAAAATATTATTTAAGAGTTATCATTTCTTAACTATTTATATTTTAATAATTTCGCTAGGTGATGATTTTTCAATCCTACGGAGAGGGAGATTTGATTGGTGGAAAGTGTGGGGGGGGGGGGGGGGGAAGTGTTATGCCAGACACAGTTAGCTGAGAGAGCTTAAAATATTATTTTGAAATTTCCATTTCTTAACTGTTTCTATTTTAATAATTTCACCATGGATGATTTTTCAATCTTTTGGAGAGGAAGATATGACTGTGTCGAGGGGAGAGGAGGGGGAGGGGGATATGACAGACACTGTTAGCTGAGAGCTATTTTCTTTCCTCTCCATTTCACCATTCTGGGCCACAGCAACGCGTGACCGGGTACAGCTAGTCCCGTAATATATTACACGCGTCATCTCGAGTGATAGCACAGGAGACAATACAACGTGACACCCCTGTAACGTTGACTGGCCTGAGCAAGTAAGAAAAAAAGATCACCCAGTGTGTAGTTGGGCCGGAGATCGTAAAAGGAACCATGCTCATAAATGCGCTGAGGCCCCACTCTCTTCCCTCCTTCCTTTGAAATTTCATCGCGACCTAACTGGTGACCCGCTGATCAAGTTTAGAAATCATGTTTTCAAATTTTCGTTTACACATTTCATGTTCAATTACATTATTATATTTCTTTGCCATTAAACACACAATAATACAAATTGCGCATTTAAACAAGACTAGCCAATCACGCCCACCACCCCCTCCCCCGATAGGTTTTTTAAAGAACCAATTGGTGCTTTTAGGAATATCAGGTGACTAAATAAATAGTAGGTGAAACACAACCAGGCAACCTGGCAGCTCTGACAATGAAATCCGAACCAAACAAACACAGGACGGCAAATATCAGTTTGGCTCCAGGACGCACAGAAACAATAACGGCTACCGAGGATTGTTCCCAACACCCACAACTGTCCTTGAAAAGCACAATTTATATGGAAATTGTACGTTTGACACTTGGTCGTGATATCCCTACTAAACGTTTACAAATGGTGATCTCTCTTAGTTGCTCATCGTTGGCAAATAGTGATCTCTCTATCTTAGTTGCTGAACGTAGGTAAATGGTGATCTTTCTATCTTAGTTGCTGAACGTATGCAATTGGTGATCTCTCTATCTTAGTTGCCTAAGATTTACAAATGGTGACCTCTCTATTTTAGCTGCCTAAGGTTTACCAATGGTGATCCCTCTATCTTAGTTGCTGAACGTAGGCAAATGGTGATCTCTATATCCTGCTGAATATATGCAAATGGTGATCTCTCTATCTTAGTTGCTGAAAGAATGCAAATGGTGATCTCTCTATCTTAGTTGCTGAACGAATGCAAATGGTGATCTCTCTATCTTAGTCGCTGAACGTATACAAATGGTGATCTCTCTATCTTAGTTGCGGAACGTTTACAAATGGTGATCTCTCTATCTTAGTTGCTGAACGTTTACAAATGTTGATCTCTCTATCTTAGTTGCTGAACGTTTACAGATGGTGATCTCTCTATCTTAGCTGCTGAGCGTATACAAATGTTGATCTCTCTATCTTAGTTGCTGAACGTTTACAGATGGTGATCTCTCTATCTTAGCTGCTGAGCGTATACAAATGGTGATCTCTCTATCTTAGTTGCGGAACGTTTGCAAATGTTGATCTCTCTTTCTTAGTTGCTAAACGTATACAATTGGTGATCTGCGTCTGGTAGCAGTTGTTTATATACAAACAGTGATGTTCCTACTTTAGTTGATGAACGTTTACAAATGTTGATATTTCTATCTTAGCTGCTTGGTTTTTTACACATGGTGATCTGTCTTAGTTGATGGACGTTTTACAAATGATGATCTGTCTATTTTACCTATTGGACGATTTGCATATTATGATCTGTCTTTTTTATATATTAGAGATTTTACAAATCTCAGTCTATCTAGGCTGTTGGGCGTTTTACACAAGGTGGTCAGTTTATTGGCAGCAGACAGGGCACTACTCTCTATCTATCTATCTATCTATCTATCTATCTATCTATCTATCTATCTAGCTATCTATCTATCTATCTATCTATCTTATCTATCTGTCTATCTGTCTATCTATCTATCTATCTATCTATTCTATCTATGGCTATCTATCTATCCATCTATCTGTCCTATCTATCTATCTATCTATCTATCTAATCTATCTGTCTATCTAGTCTATCTATCTATCTATCTATCTATCTAATCTATCCGTCTTATCTATCCATCTCTCTATCTAATCCATCTAGCCTAATTCCTCTGTCTAATCTGTCTATCTAATCCATCTGTCTAATCCATCTATCTAATCCATCTATCTAATCCATCTATCTATCCATCTATCTAATCCATCTATCTACTATCCATCGATCTTCTATCCATCTATCTATATCCTCTATCTAATCCATCTATCTATCCTATCTATCTATCTAATCTATCTATCTATCTATCTACGTGTGTGTGTTAGCTGTGTGTCTGTATGTGTATGATCTATCTGTCTGTCTATTCTATCTATCTAATCTCTCTAGACTATCTATCTATCTATCTAATCTATCTATCTATCTATCTATCTACATCTCAGCTATCTATCTTCTACTCTTATCCTATCTATCTATCCTACTAT